AGAGCAGGTCCAAGGACCGGTCCATAGAGGGGTCCATGGACCCAGTCCAGACAAGGGGTCCATGGACCGGGGATCCATGTTTTGTACTTTCCCACAATGGACATACTATTGTTCCCAGTAAACTGCGAAACGACCGTTTTTTAGGCGCTTTGACAGTGACAGTTTTGTCAATTACGAAGGACATATTTGTGTACCTCGTGATCACAATTCGCTGCAAGCGGCGCTTGAAAAACTGCAAGTTTCAGTTTGACAGTTCTGACAGTTAAATGAGTTTCTAATCTTATTGTCCAATCAGATGTGTAGTTTTGAATTTTAAATCAAAACTAACGCACCTGATTGGACAATAAATTTAGAATCTTTTAGGATCTTGGTTTTAGAAGAAGCTTCACGATTTCCGTGCTTATAGCGATAAAGTAAACTATGTTTTCTAGGGGGCCAAATTTCCGAAGGGGGGGGGGCATATTTCCTAGGAAATTTGGCCCGGGGGGGGGGCAAATTTCCACCGGGCTTAAATTTTGCATGGCGATAAACCATATAATAGTTTTGTTTGTGGAAACACCACGTAAATTTATTACTGAAAAGCTTTCAATCCTTTTTAGTCACATGCACTATACCGTATAGTTGGTGCTTAACATTGGATCTATATGACTGTCATCAGCAACAAAGCAATATTGCAGAAACATCACAGACAAATAAGTTTGTTTCTCTCAGTAACCTCAATTTCCCTGTCACGTCTTATTTCCCCTGCTCAATAATATAAATATGAGCTAATTCCGGAAAGAAGAAACATGAATATCATGGCAACCAAAATATATTTTTAGGATAATAGGCTACAATTAGATTAATTTTAAGAAAGAAATTTGACTCTCCAAGTACCTCGATTTCCCCTCATGCCTTATTTCCCCGGCACATGTATGAGTATTAGATGAGTATTAGTTTCAATGGACAACTTGCATGTTAGACTAAATTTTAATCTAAGTAAAGAGAAGGAATCAATAAATTGTTGTAAAATACAGAAAATATAGCCTTGCGAAGTTTGCATCATTTTTCAGTATATTTGTATTACGTGCGGAAATTGTTAACATTTTCGGCTCAAAAATGGTAACAATTTCCGCACGTAATACAAACATACTGAAAATATGCAAACTTCGCAAGGCTATATTTTCTGTATTTTACAACATTTCGTAACCAAATTTTGCAGTTTTACTGATCTGAATAAGTTCTTTCCGGGTTTTTACTTTTTTTTGCCTAAATAAAAAATTAGTCTAAGTGTATTGACTCAGCGCAAACGGTAAGCTCGCAAAATGATTATTTTCGACAAATACAAACGCGCTATTCGCGTTTACAATTTCCCTATAGGAGTATTATTTTTGTCAAGAAAATCAATGAATCATCATTAGTGAAAACTTCATTAGTAAATTAAATTTGTGGAATAAAAGGGATGTCAGACGGTTTAACGAGCACAAGTGGCAAGTGCCATCATCAACAAAGCGTGTGTAGAATGTATAAGATGCCAGATGAGATAAGCGGCCTGTTTTATACAGCGTCTTCAAGTCTTCAAGAGCTGTGATTATTATATTGGTATAACTGGTATAAGTCGAACGCGAATACGGTTTTGTTCTATGATCATTTGACACGGGAAATATTATGTTTCGGAAGCCTTTAAGGGAAATCAGAAGCGTTCTAATCTCGTGGCGCAAAGGGCGTCATATTTTCAATTTTCATATTATATAAATCCCCTTCAAATAGTGAAATAGGTATATCTGACACGTGACCACTTATAAATTCATACTTTATTGCATGACTTGCATGACACAAGGAGTGCAATACTATAATACGTTGTTTACACGATATTTGAGAATCAAGAAAATACCAAAACCATATCCAGATGATTAGCTTCAACATTTTAAAACGTTAACCGTCCCATGTATGAAATAATGTAAAAGTAATATTTATAATTTTATACACATATATAGGTCAAGCATTACGTGTGCTGTTTGTAATGTGTTTGAAAAGAACTTTAGTTACTGTGGTCTGAATTTGTAATATGCATGTATGATTGTCATGGGCGTACCGGGCGTGCCCCCAGTTTGTTGGGCAAACAAAGCCAGTCGGGCAATATTCGCTTCACAGTCGGGTAAAAATAAATGGGACAAATTCTGTCAATTTTGTGGGAAATATGCTATCTAATAGGAATTTTTCGTAATCACTCCCCCCCCCCCCCCCCCCCCCCC